CAAGTGATGTTTAATGGAGAGAAGGACAGGAGGGAAGAAGGCAGAAGCTGGTGAGAATTCTGTGAGTTGATGATGGGAAATTACAGATTTAGCATAACTGACCATGAACTAAAGCCTTCTGCCCAATACATTCAGGTAGCAAAGTTTCTTAAAGTGTAGGATGATATACTTAAATTTAAACCCAAGTTATCATGGAATTACCCTCATCTGAAACAAAGTATGTGCTTGGTTGCTTGGTTCTTTCAGAGGCTACAGGCTCTGCGTGGTGCTGTCCAACAGAACTTTTCTCTGATGGTGGGAACGTTCACTGTAATTTGCACTGTCCCATACAACAGCCAGTCGCCACATATGGCTATTGAACACTTGAAATGTGGACAACACAAGTAAGAAAATAAATTGTTTTTGTTTTTGTTTTTCGAGATGGAGTCTCGCTCTAACGCCCAGGCTGGAGTGCAATGGCATGCTCTCAGTTCACTGCAACCTCTGCCTTCCAGGTGCAAGCAATTCTCCTGCCTCAGCCTCCCAAGTAGCTGGGATTACAGGCACACACCACCACCCTCAGCTAACTTTTATATTTTTAGTGGAGATGGGGTTTCACCATGCTGGCCAGGGTGGTCTCAAACTCCTGACCTCAAGTGATTTGCTTGCCTCGGCCTCCCAAAGTGCTGGGATTACAGGTGTGAGCCACTGTGCCCAGCCTATTTTATTTAACTTTGGTTATTGTTAAACAGCCACATGGGGCTACTGTCTCCCCAGCTGGGCAGCATAGCTATACAGGATTTAACATACAAGTTCCTAACTTGGTCCAGGCCTGCTCTCCAGCTTCGGTCTACTCCTTCTCCTTGCCCCAGAAATCAACACTCACAAAGGCAAACTGCTGTTCCACACCTCTGTGGCTGTGCATACACTGGCCCATTGCCTGAAATATCCTTCCTCCACGTCCACCTCCAAACCTTATCCAACATCTTGTTCAGATTTCATTTCCTCAGGACGACTTTCCCTAACCTCCCCCTGCCTACCTCCCGCTACTGCCAACATAATCTACCATCACTTCCTCTGTGTTCCGCCACATCTGGTTCTGTCGTTGCTGTCATCATCCTGTAGTTATAACCTATTCTCTGTAACACTAACAGACTATGAGAATTTTGAGGACCAGGTCTTATGCATTTCTTCATCCTAGCAATGTGTGCCCATCACACGACACATGTGCAGTAAATATTTACTGTTCCCATTACTAATTTTTAAGTATGTAAAATGTTTTCTTAAAATTATTTTTGGAGCATTGACAACCACTCTGATTATGGGAACTATTTAAGTCAAAGTCTATTAAGAGGCCAATTTTCAAATAATAAAAAGTTCTTAGAGTATCAATTGAAGTTCTACTTATTTCAAACCATATCAATACAACATTTCAGTACAAACCAAAGAATATAACTGTTCCCTTATTGTTCCCTGTAACAAAATCCTACCTATAGCTGCTCCTCCTAAGGGTCTGGAAGTCTCTTAGATTTCAGAAACTGATCTTGTCACTGATCTGTCCCCAGTGCCTGCAGTCACTTACTAGGGAGACATGGATGAGATTTAAAAGCAAGAAGACAAAGGGACCTGATTTAAGACTTGTCATGGACACCATCAAACAGGAATTCAGGGTAATCTACCCTTGCTGTACCTTATGTCCAATTTTACCCACAAGGAGGAAATAATTAAAACCATATCTGTCACAAAAAATAATGTCCATAAGTGATGTGTCTGCTTAGTGATATGTTAACCAAAAAAGAATTCTCTGTTTTCCTTATTCCTTGGCAAAGCTCGAGAAATTGTCCTTTCATAGACTATGTAGCATGTGTCGTGATACCAATCTGGCCTGATAGCCACACTGATTCATTTTTTTTCCCTTCACAATTTTCTAATTTTTTACTTAAATTCTCATACAAGTGTTTCTATAATTAGAATAAGCTCTTGATGGATGCATTTCTGGGAGCCTCATTTGTATGAAATATTTCCCAAATACCAAGCATCTGATGAATGTATCGTACAAATGATTGTCTTTCCTGCCCTCCAGGAACTTACAATTTAATAACGCAAACAAATGAACACAGTGATGAGAAATGCATATGTAGGGGTACAGCATGGCAGAAGGTCTTTGAGAATAGATTTCAGAATGAATATCAATCCAGAGGACTTTATCTTCAAATCAGACCTAGATTTGACTTTCGTTTCCTTATTAATTATGTGGTTTATGTTGAAATGCACAAACAGCACTTTCTAATGTAATTAACATCAATTTAACAAATAACTAAGTTCTTTAGATCATTTGGATAAGTCTCTAATTTTCCTATATATTGACAGGTTTTAAAGTCTTTTCTCTGATTTTCCTTTTCCCTTTCCCAATACATATCTCTAAGAGTTTTAATCAAAGTAGATGTTTCAAGAGGTCTGAGATCTCTTTTGAGGTTTCTAATGAATAATGTGAGATAAACATCTTTTTCTAAAATGTCTCAAATTTAGATATAGGGATATCAATTTCTCTTTTCAACTTCCATATAGAATCTGCCCATCTAAGAAGAACACTGATTAAGTGTAAAAATTATGTTCTATATGTTATTGGAATTCCTCGTGAACTCGACTAATATAAGATGAACTTATCTCCAAAATGTGTCTATTTCTGCTCAGAAAAGGAAGATCTGGTTTTCAAAGATTGTGTTTTGAGGTTAAAAATGAAGATAGTGACCTTAACTCTCTCAAGATTTGTAAGGCTGGCATGCCATCTATCTCAGTAATACCGAACAAGAATGTCAGATGGACAGAAACGGCCATGGTAAGCGGGTGCTTGCTGCTGACAGTGATTGCTGTATTTTGGGTGATGGGGAACAGCATTTCCATTAGTTCAAGTGAAATACAATGCCCTGCCAACTCTAGGTATCAGTGTATTCAATACCCCTGCTGTGCCATGTCCATTTTCTGTAGCTGCAATTAAAAATCAGTCGATACAAAGTCAAAATGTTGTACATTCTTCCCCTATCCCTTTCCCTGTCACTGTGTTTCCAGCTTCACCGGAAGAACAAGTCACTATGGCAACCAATCCCTCTGGTGCACAGACCAAGTCAACCTTTCTAGTCAGACTGCCAAGCAGAGCAACAGGGAATCAAAGCCCTGAATGGAACCACCAGAAGCCATGAATTCCATCCCCCTTTCTCTAAGTGGGGTTAACCAACACCAGACGGGATACCGCTCTCATTCTACAAGGCATTCAAAGAAGGAAATGTAAGGCTCTCTTTCGGCAAATTCTCCCAGTGTTTGCTGTTCATTATTAACATGAATTCTCCCACACATTTCAGCTAACTTCCTCTCATTTCAATTTCAAAGAAAGAAGAAAATTATGGATAAAATAAAGCTTTCTAAGTCTGAGAATCTGAAAACTGTTATAAAGTCACCCATTGTCAAAAACTGTTCTAGGTCCTCATGTTTTCCTGCCTCGACATCCAAACCCAAGTTGCTTTCTTCTGGACTCCCCTGTATCCTGCACATCTTTACAAAGGGGTAGTGCTCCAAATGGGTCAGCCTGTTCCAATAAGAACCTAATTGTGAAGCTAATGGGATCTTGGTCGTATTAACGCACCTATAACAAAATCAGCTAAAATCCCTAGTCATTCTAAAGAAGGTACAAAACATACACTTAGATGGATTCCCTCTCTGAAGTCACCTCACCTCAACCTGAGCTGGCTACCTAGACCAGACCCACTGTTCGTCATTCTTAAACAACTGACTTTTTTACAAATTAACATTTTTTTCTGATCAATTGCAACACTTCTATCTATCAAAGAACATCAGCTCTCATAAATATTATTTTAATACAGCAGCAAACCTCACAACATTATAATGAGACATTAAGAACAGCTTTTATGTCTTGGCCTCAAAGACTTTACAAATAATAGCATTTTTGTCACCTCAACACCACCATTTAATAGTTGAAAAGAATGAAACACAAGGGGAAGAAAACAAGACTCATAAAATCTGTCCATCTTCCTACAATGTAGCTACCGTAGAAGAGAACACACTCCTTTCTTCAGAGCAATATTAATAAATATTCAAACAATATTCCAGTGAGTTGACAACAGGATGGTTCCCAGAGTATAAATCATACAAGGTTTACAAATTCCATCAGATAAGCAGAATTTTTTTAAGTTATGTGATCACATTAAAATATCAAATAATTTTTTATCATTAGCAAATGCAGCTGGTTTTATGTTTTGATATACACTTTGGTTATTTTTATATACAAAATTTTCTGAAAATCTTATTTTTTTTTAAATCTAACATGCCCACTTTGGTGTTACCCAAAGAACTACTTTTTTTGTACTTAATAGACCTTGTTGATATTCAATGCACACAAGTCACTTCTGTCAACCACTGCTTCAGAAGGAGACATAGTCAGCTGGCTTTGAGCTGCTTACAGGTCAGGGGCTGCGATTTATTCATGTTTATATGACCAATGCCTGCACCATTCCTGGTATAGTATAGCGCTCAGCAAACAGTTCTGGTATGAATAAGGCCGCCTCTGCGAAATGCTTCCCCCATTTTCCCTTGCTTGAATCAGTTTAACAAAAATATTAGCAGCTTGTCTACCCCTGACAGGACTCCTTAAAGGGTTTCCTTTAAGAGCGCAAACAACGTTCGAGATTCCCTTCTTCTCAGAGGCTGATGAAGCATTATCCTGGATAAGAACCCTAGACCAAGAGGTTCCACTCGAATCCCGACAGAGAAGCGCAAGTGGAGAGGCGGGGGAGAGAGTTAAGCCTGCACCAAGCTCCATTAGCAGCTGTTGAGAGAGGCAAGTTCTGGCCCCGAGGCTCAGCGAGGCCTGGATAGCCGGACCACCTGGAACCGGGAGACACGATAGCCCTGATAGCCTAGTGTGGCCTGAGGAGGAGACGCGAGGGGCTGCGGGGCCTAAAGGCGCCGGGCTCTCCGCAGCGCCACGCCTCGCTCCCGGCGCTTACCTTTCCGAATGAGGGCGGCGATCTCGGGGTCGAAGCCCTGCCGGTGGCACTTCCTCCAGAGGCCCATGTTGGTGGAGTTGTACTGCCGGCTGCACTCATCCGCCGGGCTCATGGCGAAGAGCTGCCGGCGATTCCGGGCCCGGAGGAGTTTGCCCTCCCAGCGGTCCAGGCGCGAGCGGCTCGCCCGGAGCGGCAAGTTGTTGTTATTATTGTAAATGAAGCCGGGGTCGACCCGGCGGGTGTTAAAGGCCTTGCACCTGTCTCTGTGCTTCCTGGCGTCCGTCTCGTACCAGTGGTCCGAGCAGATGGCCACGGCCAGCATGCCGAGGGCGCAGAGCGCTAGCGAGAGGCCCGTGTAGAGCAGTAACCTTCCGGCAGCCATGCCTCCGCTTGGCGGCTACACCATGGGCATGATCCGCCGCAGCCTCGCCTTCCCTCGCCGCGCCCGGAACAAAGCGGGGGGCGGCCGAGCTGGGGGAGGGGGCAGGAGAGCGACTCGCGCCGCTACGCCCCCTCGGCCCCCACCTACCAGTGCGCGGCCCGGGAACTGCGGCGATGGGGGCGGGCGGCCTAAAAAGTTCTGATCCGGAGAGGCTCCCGCGAGCTCCTGGGCATCCTCTGGGGCAGGTGCAGCCTCCAGCGGCGGCGAACCCAGCGCGGCCGCCTCCCGCCCCCTCCCCGCCCCGCAGGAAGTGACTGCCCCGCAGCAGCCGCCTCGAATCCCAGCCCGGCTTCGGACGCCGCTGCCCTCGGGCCGGAAACTAAACGCCAAGTGTCCTCGGCTGCGGTGGGGCTTGCCGGGGTTTCTTTGTGCAGGGTGGTGACGGGACAGAACTCGCCTGCCTCTCGGAGGGAGACGGGGGTGCTGTCAGGAGGCGCCACCCGACTACAGGGTGAAGTGGAGCACCCTCGATGCGGCTGGCAGGCGGAAGAAACCTCCAGGCGCCGGGGCAGCCCTCCTGGGTCTCCCGCTCAGAGACTGCCCCCCTTCCGTCTGCAGGCAAGGACCTGGGGCGCTCACCCAGAAATGTTCTTCCTCTCTGGGTCGGGTCCTTTTAAAATCTCCGTTCCCTGGTCACCCGCAGGTCGGTTGCTACTTCTGACCCGAGTGCTGCTCTCAGAGGCGCGCTCCCAGCGGACGCACTGTCTCGGCCGACCTTCCCCCGCGAGCTCCCAGGGCGCCTGCCTCTGGCATGGCCATTCAAGCTGCCCGTTGGGCCGACGGCGCGGTCACCCAGGCGGGGTTACCGGACGAGTCCCGGCCCGGGGTCTGCGGAGACTGGGCGGCTGCGCGCGGACGCGAGGGGCGGGCTGCGCGGCGGAGGGCGCACCGGGCAGCACTCACGGTACGGGGCGCTCGGATCTCGGCGCACGGCGCCTTCAACACCATGGACAGGTCACGCCGTCGCGGCGCGCTGCCGGCCCAGCCGCCAGCCCCCCGGCGTCACGTAGCTGTTCCTAGCGCCGTCTTCTGCCTGGAGTGTCCACCCGGCCGCCTCCGGACCCGGCTTTCGCGCGACGCCTCCTCCTCACTTCATCTGGCACCCGGGAGCCCCGGGAGCTGGCCGCCCAGGTGCAAAGAAAATGCCGCAGGCACCGAGGACAACCTTGGTCCCGGCCCCTCAGAACAATCCGCCCCTCTCTCCAGCCACCTGAGCCCCTGGCACTCTGGCACCCTGTCTTCTCTGCCCAGTTGGGCTCAGCTGCTCTCAGATTGCACCATTTTCTTCGCAGCCCACCCCGGCGCCGAGATGCCGGCTCACTCGGCAGCGTGCAGAGAATCCCGTCCAGGCTTCGGCGTCCCAGGATCCCGCTCCCGGCGCTAGATGGTCGCCGAGATGAATGGAGCGAGGGTGGGGGAGGGAGGCTGGGTCACTCGGCTTCCCCTAGTCGCCTCCTCCTCTAGCCGCGGCGGCTCCGAGGCCTCGCAGGCTCGGCTGGTGCCCGGGAGGCGCGAGAGCCCAGGCTGCGCCCAGGGGACTGGGGAAATCGCATCGCCCGGATGCGGGCGCCGGAGGAAGCCGCTGCCGCGCTCTCTAGTCGGGCGCGGGGCGCTGCAGCCTTGGCTAAAACCCACAGACGAGAACACCGAGCGCGCAGCCAAAAGCTAGTGATGTCATCCGTGCAACGTGAGCCTCATCTCTTATTTTTCTAGCCTCCTTAAAGATAAACTGCACCATTTCCCAGACACGAAATGTCTCAGCCTTATTCTTTGACCAGGCAAGTCAATGGTGTCTAGATAGGTATGTGCCCAACCACATCCATATTTATGCACATATACATATATGTGGTATGTAGCATGTTTACATACATTATTGTAAATTTAGGGATGTTGCCTACAGCTCCTGTTTCTTTTTCCAGACATGGAAAATTCTCTCAAACCCACTACAGTTATTTAAAGGAAAAACTGCTTATTGTAGAGTTGGCCTTCGGAGGGGCCGAGCGAGCTCCCTTCGTCCCGGTTTGGGCCACCGGTGTCTTGGTATGCATTTGATCTTTTTTTCCCCCCGGAAAGCCACAGGCGCTACCTTGCTAGCTACAGGCGTTTCCACCTAGGGCTGAGCTGAGAGCGGCCGCGGAGTTAACCCAGCAGCCCCAGATTCATGCACCCCGACACACACCCACCTCCACCTGCCCTCCCTCCTCAGCAGGAAAAGAAAGAAGAATTTTGGCAGATCCACTCAAGACAACAAGGAGAGAAATTTAATGGTGGATGGGGGTGGTGGGTTGGTAGATATTTTGAAAACGCTGGAGAGCTCAAGCACTGAGGAGGGGAGGTGGGGTGAAAGGAAACCTCGATGCGGGATTTGTCATCTTGTAAGGGTGGCCGCTGGATTTAGGCTCTGCAGAGGCTCTGGGAGGTAGCGCCAGACCCCAGACCTTGAGCGGGTGGGCCCCAGGCGAACCCCGCTTCATCCCAACCTCAGCCCCCCTGCTCTGCTCACGTGAGACAGCGCCGCAAAGGCTGGGAGCCTCCCTCCTGGCATCAAACGCTGGATTTTTCACTCTGTTGCTCACCCCTCGTTTTCACCCTCACTCCAAAGTCGAGGTCTGGCACTGCCGGGTAGAGTTACCCTGGGGGAAAAGAAAGTGCCCCACACCCTTCTTTGCACAATGAGGCTTGTGAGCCAAAATGAGCACACCTCCACCATATTCTTTTTGTCTTTTTTTTCCTCTCTCCCCTTCCTGCATTTTGAAAACCGCGAACGAGGCGTTTCAGTGCCATCTAGTGGGGGAGGGGCGTGCCTCGCTTTCGCTTTTCACCCCTGGATTCTGCAATGGGATTTGCCTAAGGGACAGCAGAGCCTGAGGCGGCCCGCTGGATTCTAGGGTGCCTGGCTGGTCAAGGGACTGCAGGTGTGCGCCCTTGGCCAGATCTCTGCCCTCTGGCTTCCCTAGGATGTCGAGATAGAGCCAAGTGACTCTGGGCCTAATGTCTTCTCACCTTTTTTTCTAGCCCCCGCCCTTAATCAGTGCACCCTCCCCCAACCTTGAAAATAAACAAATAAGTGCAAACACTTTTCATTCATGCAGACAATATCTTAAATTTCTGAAGTTATTTTCCTCACTAAAGTCCAGAGCACTTTTAGACTAACAAGCTACCTGCATTTAATAACAGAGAGGAACGAGAGGGGTGAAATGACATCTACAAGGTCACTCGGGAAATCAGGGCACAGAAGGCCTTCAGGAGCAGTCTCCTGGTTCCGAGCTTTCCTCTCTCCTTAAACCCAGCTGAACGGGGTGCCCCTGAGACCAGTCCAGGCAGCTGATCGTTCCCAGTAAATGTACCTGTTTATTTTGTCCTTATCTCTCCTCCCTCTTCCATTGTGTCACCCATCTAGTGCTCTTGATTTTAGCATTTTCTCCTGACCTGTACCTGAGAGCTACTTCCAAGGATGTGCCTGGCCCATTCTCCAGGGTCCTCAGCAGTCGTGTATTTGGGGCCCTGCTTACAGTGGGAACCCAAATGGTACGCTATCCTCTTCCTTACTGAACATCATTAAAATTCTATTTTGAAATATTTGTCCTTGATGAAATCCCCAAATCCAATAAAGTCATGGATTTGCAGCCTCCTTTGAAGTGCAGTTACCATGGGCAGCCCTATGTCATTATGTGATGACCCTGGTCCTCGAGGCTAAGATAGTTGCAGGACTATCTTTTCTTAAATGGATGATCTAAGTCTCTTCCCACTGTCTGCTTCCGATTCCTTCCACTCTGCTGGCCACAGCATCATCATCTTTGTGTTTCCAACCAATTTCCTCCCATTTGCACCAACACTGTCCCAGATCATAGGATCTCAAAATCAGAAGAGACTTTAGAGTCAAACACATATAGAATAATGCATGAATCTGTTTTAGAACATTTTCCAAAAAGTGAATGACCAGCTTCTGCTTGCACACTTGAAGTGATGGGGAAATCACTTTGCAAGCAGCCCATCCCACTTTAGACTGTGTAAGTAGCTAGACAGCTCTTCCTTACACTGAGCCTTCTCCTAAATCCCATAACTTATACTCATTGGCCTTTGTTTTTGCTTTTTAAAGGCCCACTGATGGGGCCTGATTCGTCTTCCATTTAGTGGTCCTTCCTGCACCTGACATAGCCATCATGTTCTCCCTACACCTTCTTTCCTCCAGACTAAATTTCCCTCATTCATTCTCATGCTTGCTCTTCCCTGGCTTCTGATGCCTCCTGACTGTTCATGTTCCTTTGGGGTAATACCTCTTTGATCCAGCAGGCGTGCAAACCTATGAAGAAATTTTGGTAAGTCTGTCCTGTTTTTATATGACTTATGAGCAGTTCTAATGGTCCTCATTTCCTCTTTTGGGAGCCCATAAGTCATCCCCTTCTTAAGCCATTCCTAGAATCTTACTCCAAAATGACATTAAGATCACTGATCTGTAGTTTGTGACATCTGCATTTTTGAAATTTGGAGTTTCATTTGTTCACACCCACCCACTCCCTGTTTTAAAGTGTCATTAACATTCTGCAGGCTCTCTCTAAAGTCACCAACAAAGGTGAGACATCATTGAAAGTTCTCTCCATTTCCTGGAATACAGTTCACCTGGAGCAGACAGATGTTTTCCTCCAACTTCTTCACCCATTCTGAACTGTCTTCAGTTACCATATTGTTCCACCCTATACCCCACCTTCGGCCTGAAAATCTCTCTTTGACATTGTCAATTGTCAAAATAAGTTCATGAGGTGTGCTTTCTCCTTGCCATCTATCAGTACAATATTACACTATTTGGCCAGGTGCACTGGCTCACACCTGTAATCACAGCACTTTGGGAGACCAAGGTGAGAGGACTGCTTGAGCTTAGGAGTTTGGACAAGCCTGGGCAACATAGTGGGACCCTATGTCTACAAAGCCAGATGTGGTGGCATGCACCTGTCATCTGAGCTACTCAGGAGGCTGAGGTGGGAGGATCACTTGAGGCTGGGAGGTCACAGCTGCAGTGAGCCATGATGGCACCATTGCACTCCAGCCTGGGAAACAGAGTGAGACCATGTCTCAAAAAAAAAAAAAAAAAAAATACACCACTTGTCCAGGAAAAAGTCTCCCCACATATATTTCTTTTTTCATAGTTAACTTTGTACAATTTGGACATTATTTGTAACCCAGAAGTTATTTTGAGCTCTAACTCTCCGGGCATAGTTCCCAA